GAGCTGGCAATATAACTAAAAGATGACAGTCGAAAAATAGCAGCAAGCAACACCGGAGACATAGAATATATTTCAGCCATCTAATTCCTCCTGTGGGGCTTGAGGCAAAACATTTTTTTGGTTGTCGTAAAATACAACTAATGAACTAATTAGGGGTGAAAATAAATGTCACAATATAGCTGTAAACTGCACTACATTGTGGCAAAGTGGCAGAATGGATAACAAAAATTGATAGAAAAGATTCCTTAAAAAAATGATTCTGGGTTCTTTATTTCTCACATGCATTTGTATACAAAAGAGACCAGTAATTTAGCAATGTCACAGAATTAAACCTTAATCACAGAATCAAACCTTAATCACAGAATCAAACCTTAATCACAGAATCAAACCTTAATCACAGAATCAAACCTTAATCACAGAATCAAACCATAATCACAGAATCAAACCTTAATCACAGAATCAAACCTTAATCACAGAATCAACGCTAAACACAGGATCATCTAGAATGACTGCCAGGATTTTAAACTGTTACTTTAAAAGAAATGTTCAATAGATTTACATGTCTGGCATCTCAAAATGTTCACAAAAGATTCAAGTTGTTTGGGTCTGTAAGGTTTAAAACAGGTATGAGAAGAGAAGGAACAGCCAGCAAGCACCAGGAAGATACAAAGGATGGCTGCAGCAATTGCAGCTGTAACTCGGACATGATTCTGAAGACGTGGCAGGAGACTGAACACCGTCTAGACATCAACAGAGCTACAAATGGCTCCCCTATCCAAGTGTACTAAGGAAAGTTCTAATATTGTAAACTTTTCTTAACCTTTTAAAATGTCACACATGTATATCCATGAAATACTTTTTTTTTAAATAATACTTACTTATTTACTTAGTCAATCCTCTTCACCTTGGGGTGTAGAGGTTTGCCAGAGAGATGGTCAGACTTCTCTATCAGCAGTTTTCTTTCTGGCTTTGTCCCATTCCAGTCCTCTGTCAGTCAGGGACTGTCGGATGTTGTCTTCCCAGCAGACCCTGGGTTGCCCTGGAGGTCTGGTTCCCTGGTTCTTAGCCTCCTATTCCTGATATGGTGGCCGTTTTTTTTTCCCATTCTGCATACATGTCCAAACTATCGTAACTATGACTGTTCCATTCGGGTTTGTAAGGCCAGGGTTTCAAGATCTTGAAATATTGTCTGATTGCCAACTTTGTCTCTTCCTGACACTTGGACCACCTTTCTCAGATATCTCATTTCCGAGGCTTGAAACTGGCTTCTGTAAGCTGTTGTCATTGTCTATGATTCACACCCGTAGGTCAGGACTGGCACGTATGTAGAGCGGTAAACTGCCATTTTCATCCTTTTGCCAATTTCTCTTTTGTCAAGAAACCCTCTGTCTATGGGCTGGAAAAGTCTTTCAGCTGCTGCTTTTCGAGTAGCTAGGTCTGTCTTAATGCCTCCATTTTGGTCTATTACAACTCCAAGTATTTGGGGGGAAAAAAAAATAATAACAGTTTAAAATCCCGACAACTATTGTCGGTGACCCTCTTTATGAAGAAAGATCGGAAAAAACATCAATTGAATATTATTTGAATTTGCATTGTCATCTCCTGGTTAGTAGATATTCTTCTTCTCAAAGTCAATGCTGTGTGGGTTTTATCCTCATTTCTGCTCAGTCTTCTTTCATATGAATCACAATAAGCTACAATTTAAAAAAAATATTACATATACCTCACACACACATCAAGTGTGCTATAGAAAAACCCAACACTTTTAAAATTAAGCATACACATATGCACATGCAAACATATCATTCTGTCATCACAGTTCATTAGCCTTATGTATAATATACTCTTCCAGAGCAAAGTCTGTTTTCTTATTAATTTCTAGTATCATATTTCATTACCCGTATCTCTAATATACTCTTACAGAGCAAAGTCTGTTCTCTTGTTAATTTCTAGCATCACATATCATTACCCGTATCTTTAATATACTCTTCCAGAGCAAAGCCTGTTCTCTTGTTAATTTCTAGCATCACATTTCATTACCCGTATCTCTAATATATTCGTACAGAGCAAAGTCTGTTCTCTTATTAATTTCTAGCATCACATATCATTACCCGTATCTTTAATATACTCTTCCAGAGCAAAGTCTGTTCTCTTGTTAATTTCTAGCATCACATTTCATTACCTGTTATCTCCAATATACTCTTCCAGAGCAAAGTCTGTTCTCTTGTTAATTTTTAGCATCACATTTCATTACCCGTATCTCTAATATACTCTTACACAGCAAAGTCTGTTCTCTTGTTAATTTCTAGCATCACATTTCATTACCCGTATCTCTAATATACTCTTACAGAGCAAAGTCTGTTCTCTTGTTAATTTCTAGCATCACATTTCATTACCCGTATCTCTAATATACTCTTACACAGCAAAGTCTGTTCTCTTGTTAATTTCTAGCATCACATTTCATTACCCGTATCTCTAATATACTCTTACACAGCAAAGTCTGTTCTCTTGTTAATTTCTAGCATCACATTTCATTACCCGTATCTCTAATATACTCTTACAGAGCAAAGTCTGTTCTCGTTGTTAATTTCTAGCATCACATTTCATTACCCGTATCTCTAATATACTCTTACACAGCAAAGTCTGTTCTCTTGTTAATTTCTAGCATCACATTTCATTACCCGTATCTCTAATATACTCTTACAGAGCAAAGTCTGTTCTCTTGTTAATTTCTAGCATCACATTTCATTACCCGTATCTCTAATATACTCTTACACAGCAAAGTCTGTTTTCCCATTGTTTTTCTGTCATTACATTTCATCCAAGTGTACTAAGGAAAGTCTAAAACTTTAAACTTTTCTTAGCATTTTGAAATGTCACACGTGTATATCCATGAAGTAGTTCTTTTATAATAAGTTTTAAAATCCAGACAATCGTTCTTGGTGACCTATATAGACAACAGCCTGACATTGTTCCCAGTCTGGACATTCACAATGAAAGCAGCCATTAAAAAAACGAAAGAAACAACAAAGCAGTTGGTGATGACAACATCTCAAGAGAAATGCTTAAAGTAGCATACGAGAAGACTTTACAGCGTTTGCTGCAGCTGATAAACAAAATCTGGCAAAACGAATCCCACCATAACAGTGGAGAGATGGTTTAATTTTCAAACTTCCTAAAAACGTGATATATCTGACTGTAATAACTGGTGTGGTAACACCCTGCTTTCAGTGCCAGGAAAACTTTTTTGTAGCATGTTACTTGAGAGACTGAAAAAAAAAAGTCTATAGATGAAAGGCAAAGAGAAGTACAAGCAGGTTTCAGACCAAACCCTTCATACGTAGACCACAACTTCACCCTCAGAGTAATCATTTAAGTCTGTAGAATTTCAGTCGCAGTTAATTATCAACTTTGTCGACTTTCAAAAAGCTTTTGACAGTATTCACCCTCCTACACTTTGGAAACTACTTAAAATCTATGGTTTCCCTACCAAATTCATCAGTCATAATTCCTTCTACAATGAAACATGCTGCAGTGTAAGAACAGAATCTGGCAACTCTGACTGGTTCCTAGTGGAAACAGGAGTGAAAAAAAGGTTGTGTACTATCACTGATACTTTTGCAGTCGATTGTGTCATGCCCAAATGCACAAACATCACAAATATGGGTATCAAATGGGTTGATAAAATTCTAGAAGACCCTGAGACCCCCCGACTTTGCTGATGACAAAGGGCTTTTGAGTTCAATGCACCCAGACATCTGAAAAAAAAAAAACCAATCTATCTACAAAATGTTTCAGAACAAATCGGTCTCCAAATTACCACTGAAAAAAAAAAATATTGATCTTACCAATAGTTTAGATGACATTCTTGAAAAAATTTAACAGCTTTACATACCTAGGAAGTAAGATGACATCTATAGGGAGCTCAGCGCCAGAAATATCATCTAGAATTGCACTGGCATCTAGTGCCTTTAACAAACTGTCAAACAAGTGGAAGTCAAAGACATTTAGCAATCACACAAAACTTAAGATCTTCAACTCTTGTCTGCTTCCAGTGCTAACTTATGGATGCAAGTGTTGAAAAGGAAGGTAGCTCTAAATAAAAAAAATTAGTTTTGAGAACAAATGTCTTAGAAAAATACTAAATCTCTACTGGAAAGATTTCAGATCTAATATGGAGACCAAGCAAGACAATGTATCCATTTGTATAAGAAAGCGTCGCGGAACTACATCAGCCATGCACTCAAAATGGATAAGAAAAGACTTCCCCATCAAGCCCTCAGATGGTTACCGGAAGGGAAAAGAAAACGGTGAAGACCAAGAGAGACTCTACGTAGAACCATCATCAGGGAAGGCTCAACCATGGGACTAACAAACATCCAAGACATACAATAGGTGGCAATGAACCGCCAGACATGGAGAGCTATGTCCTCTACCCTTTGTGCCGCCCTAGGCCCACGAGGAAAGACTAACTAATTACATTTCATTACCCGTATCTAATATAGAGAGCAAATTAGCTGCCTCCATGGCAAATTGGTTAGCCTGTTTGCCTCATGCTCTAAAGGTCATCAGTTCGCTTCACAGCTGTGCGGCTCAGTTCACAAGTGCAGTTGTTATGGAGAACCCTAGGGATCTTCACCAAAGCTACGGAGTTTGTGCTTTTTGCGACGCTCTCGGCAGGCTGCTAGTTATTCTGTGGAGTGAGACCAAACCAAATGGGATAAAACTGTGCAATGAAGTTGATCCTTTCAACTTCAATCTTTAACTTTAACAGAGAAAATCTGTTTTCTCATTAATTTCCGTCACATTTCATTGCTAGTACTTTTGCAGAGCAGTCTGTTTTCTCATTAATGTCTGTTATCACATTTTATTACCCATATCTCTAATATACTCTTTCAAAACAGTCTGTTTCGTAATAATTTATGTCACCATATTTCATTATATGTGTCTCAAATATACATTTACAAAGCCAAGTTTTTTGGTCTCATTAGTTTCTGTCATCACATTTCACCGCCTGTATCTAGTAATACATTCTTGCAGTGAGACTGAGCCCACTGCCAAACTATCTTGGCCATCTTTTTGTTTTCTGGAGCTTGCAGCACAAAAGCATGCTTCAGACCGAGTTCACATAAACGGGCATCCATATTGGGAAACTCTGTGATCAAATCATCATAATACTCCTTCGGTGCCCAGTGGTCACAAGCCCCATAGTATAAACTCAACTTACTGCAATGCTTCTGTAGAAGATCCTTCTGAAGCTCAGTTACCATATTCATTTCTATTTTAGCCAAATACGTAACAAAGTTAGCAGTAAAAGGTGTAAAAGTCTCCAACACAGCCTTTTTCAAGCAGTCTGGGTAATCTTCACGTCTGAACCACCACTGGATCAGGCTCAGACGGTATCTTGTTGGTAGGATGCTGAAGCATGAAGCTGCCATGACAACCAGCCAGCGTAGATGGCGTAAGATTGGTGTCATAAACTGGCCGCTGGGAGATAAGGCCATACGTTCTATGGTAGGGAACAACATAAAACAATGCAGTACTTGGCTGGTTGTTAGCTGGTCCAACATGTTTAGGATCATGTAACAACCGATAGAATGTCCAATTAATATCAGGGAGACATATGGGGGTATGTGTTCTTTGACAAAAGTCACCTTGTGGGAAATCTGGGCTTGTAGACCGAACAGGTTTTCCTCAGTTGAATCTGAAACATATTTAGGTGGTTTTTGTGAAAAAAGTACTTTCCGAGAGGTATAACTGGAAGGTAAATGTACAGAATAAACTGTCACTACTGTCTGTATTTACCATTTTGTAGGGCAGTGTAGACAAGGCAGTTGTGAGCCTGAAGGTTTAAGGACACACAACCAATGCTTCTGCCATGGACTGCAGGTTAGGATGTTTATTTTATTTTGTCCCGCCGACAGAAAAACTCTATCACCTTACCGAGTGTCAAACCCAGGTCTTCTGCATGACAGCCTGGCATTGTAACCACTCTAGCAATAGGACAAACACAATGATTTAAATGGAGAGATAATGTAATGATGGTGGTGCACTAGGACCAGGATTCCTACTGATCAAGACCTATTTACACCTCTCCATGGTCATCTTATTTGCTGTTGTGTTATATAATACCATACACTGCACACATCACAAGAGGTGCCTGAGAGGGGAGGAGCTAACAGTCTGCAACAAAAAAGTCAGATCTGAAAAATGGATGTGCAGAAAAAGCTCAAGTCCTGGGAGATAACTAAAGTCCAGAAGTGATCAAACAAACAATCAGAACCTGCTGCCAGAGTTTACACCTTGAATGCAACAAAGTAGCAGAAATACTAAAACAATGGCCAATTTAAAATAAATCTTCTATTTCCACTAAAATGACTACATAATGCAACAATGTGTATGTGAATTTTCCTTGGAAAGAAAGATGGACATCTGAACGTTTGGATGTACCCTGAAGTATGCAAATGCCTAAAACCTCACACTGAGTGTTTGCAGGTCTGTCTGGACATTATCTCTTCATCGTCTTCTTGGTCTGCCTCATGGTCTACGAACATTCATCTCCCTTGTGCATACAGTTTTCACTTCTCTGTCATCTGACATTATCTCAGTATACTTCAACCATTTCAGTCTATTAGCTCTCATGATGCTAGTTATCAATTGATGATCTTTATCTTTACAAATAAGAAATATTATGTCGCTACCATCTGGTCGGATGAAGGTCAAGATATAACAAATCTCAGCATGCATACTAAAAGCACATGACATCCAATGCCAAATGGACCAGGAAATTACTTATGAAGTAGAAGCATGATGCTGATCGTGACCATCAAGTGCCTGGTCTAAAACACTTGGCTAGCACACACACACATTAGTTAGTCTTTCCTCTTGTGTCGAGTGCGGCACATAGGGCAGAGGTCGTGACTCTCCATGCACGGCGGTCCGTTGCAATCCGTTGTAGGTCTTGGATGTTTGAGTGGCCCATGAGCGAGCCTTCCCTGATGATAGTTCTACGTAGGGTTTCCCTTGGTCTTCCACGAGATCTTTTCCCCTGTGGTGTCCAAATGAGGGCTTGGTAAGGAAGTCTTGATTTATCCATTCTAAGGACGTGGCCGACATAGTTCCAGCGGCGTTTTCGTATAAAATTCACACACACATATTTAAAAAAAATCTGGCAGTGTGGATTAAACTTCTAAACTTTCGGATGGACAGGCAAGCATGTCTCTATGCAACATGGCTCCAAACAGTTCATTCAGTTTAGATTTAAATATGATAGTGGCTCACTTATACTTGGGTAATGTTACAGCCGTCAGCGTCTGTGGCTTAGGCACTGCAAATGTGCTTTGTAATTCCATGCTCGACACCAGCTGCAGACAATTTGGCAGGAGACTGCCTTGCGTTGGTTTTAACAGTGGTATCAAGAAACGACTGTTCAGACAACAATAGCAAGCTACTGAACGTAAAATTGGGTACTTTATTAATATCCTACCCCAGATGACATCACAGGACAGTCCAACATTTTAGAGGGTGGTAAGACTGGGTTTCCACATTTTCTGAGGCTTTTAACCACCCCAAAATATTTGGAACTGGTCTTAATCCCAACCCACCTACATCCCGCGGGAGAGTGCAGCCTAGGTCTCATGACTGCATGCAACCTATCTACCACCCTTGAAATATTAGACTGTCCCGTGATCTGTGGATTTCCCCTGTTTGGGATAGGATATTAATAAAGCACCTAAACCTGTCTAGTGAAAACACAAATAGCCCAACAATGCTGAGACTGGTTCTGCAATGTCCTGTAAGGGAGAAACAACTAACTTTCAATGTGGAGCCATAAACGGCAAAAGAAAAACAAACCATAGTTATAAAAACAAAAATGTAATGAATCCTTACAAACATCAGATAAACTCATTGTTCCACCAGGTGGTTTGATATGGCCAGCATGACCCAAGGTCCACACAGGAATTCGTTCTCGGCCATGCCGATAAAGCTCCTGCATGAAGTCTTCATAAAAGTGAGGGACACCTGGATTGCCTGATGGTGAGATTAGATAAATAATAAATCACTCCTGTTCTATGGGAGTCACCGTGGTGTAGTGGCTAGACGCTCGCCTGCAGTTCAGAAGGTTGTGGGTTCAGGTCCTCACGGAACCGGGCTTTCTTAAAAAATGAACTTTGGCTCCCAGGTCGACCCAGCCTTGAGTGGATACCAGGTGCAGTCCTATGAAGTAAAGGCGGCCACATCACCCACCCAGTGCCGATTGGTGTATAAAATATAGGTCCAGCCCTATATGCCCAATACATGTGAAGGTATGGAAAAGGTCCTTTACTTTTGCTTTATCATGTTCTATAACTATTTACTTCTATGCAGCAAGCCAGGTTCACTATAATATTTCACACATTTGTTCCCTCTGCCATTCACCGAAAGTGATCTATTATATAAGATAGTTTTTATCTATGCAGGTCAGCAGAATTCCTGGTCCGCTACACATAGGGTTCAACTGTAGTCTAAAGCAAGTTACGGAATTTAAATATCTAGGAAGTATATTCTCAGAAACAAACTGCATATGAGACTTTTTACAGCAAAATATCTGGGAGGAAGGTGAGAGGAAGACCAAGAACGAGATGGATAAATGGTGTAGCAGAAATTTGCAATAAAGATGAACAAATCCATGACCCAAGCCATCCTAGAAGCGCAAGACAAATATAGAAAACCATGACACTGGGTTACAACCTGGTATCAGTGAGATGACAAAAGAAGAAGATATTCTCAGAGGATGGGAGAATAGATCGGGAAATAGAAACAAGATGCCAACAGGCCAGTGCACTTATATACTGACACCGTTATTAAGACTTCCAGACATAAGTATGAATGCCAAGAAACAGATTTTAAACAGCATATTCATAACAACACTGTGCTACCTGTGCCAGATTTTGACGTTTTCAAAGGCTAACTTATGTAAAATGAACATCTGTGAAATGAGATGCCTGAGAACAACCTCCAACTTAACCATTCAAGACAAAGTTAGAAATGGTATTTTCAGACAGACTGTGGGAACAACACCATGCAGCAAATTCACTGACAAACAGAAGATGAAATGGTTTAGTCATTTAGTTAGAACAACTACCAATGCAGATGCTACACATGAAAAGATGCGATGTGAAAGCAAGAGGTCGCCCTAGTTAAAGATGGATTCAACATGGAATATCAATAGCCTTTGCTGCGCATCAAGCAGTGAAATGCAAACTGTTCCTGTCCATGATGTTTAAGGGCACAAGTGAAAACTGATGATGATGATGATAATATTTTATCTACTGAATTACAAAAATAAATTAAATATGTTCAGCTGCGGAAAAAGTGAAAATGTAATAAACTGGAAAGCCCAAAGTATAGGTCGCATTACAAAATTACAATTACACAAAACAATCAAATATTGCAAGATATTAACAAACAAGCATAAGGAACAAAACACATTACATATGTTGTTGACAGTGTGGTATTAGTAGTCAAGTCTATCCACAGCCTTTCAATCCCCTCTGACACAGATGATGTTCCATGACATGATTTCAAACTGTTCAGCATCTTCTCTCTCAGTTTCACTCTGCTTAATTTTTCCTCCAACTTTCCCACTGTTGCATGATATACTGCAGCTTTCTCTTTCTCATGATGTGACCAAAAAATGTACACAGTATCTTTCTGATTTAGGTGATCAGTTTTATTTATGTGGTGATTCTTTCAAGACATCTCTATTATCCTTTTTATCTGTCAATAAAATCCACACATACGATGCTTCCACATAATTGTTTACGAATCAGCTAATTGTCCACAATTCACTTTCGCATATCAGGATAGGCACTATTTAGCAGTCACTGCAGCCTTGGCTGGAAAACTTGCTGTAAATACATGTCATGATTGTAACTGACTCACAGAGCATACACTGAGAAAGATGGAGACATGTCATGATTGTAACTGACTCACAGAGCATACACTGAGAAAGATGGAGACATGTCATGATTGTAACTGACTCATAGAGCATACACTGAGAAAGATGGAGACACGTCATGATTGTAACTGACTCACAGAGCATACACTGAGAAAGATGGAGACATGTCATGATTGTAACTGACTCACAGAGCACACACTGAGAAAGATGGAGACATGTCATGATTGTAACTGACTCACAGAGCATACACTGAGAAAGATGGAGACATGTCATGATTGTAACTGACTCATAGAGCATACACTGAGAAAGATGGAGACATGTCATGATTGTAACTGACTCACAGAGCATACACTGAGAAAGATGGAGACATGTCATGATTGTAACTGACTCACAGAGCATACACTGAGAAAGATGGAGACATGTCATGATTGTAACTGACTCACAGAGCATACACTGAGAAAGATGGAGACATGTCATGATTGTAACTGACTCATAGAGCATACACTGAGAAAGATGGAGACATGTCATGATTGTAACTGACTCACAGAGCATACACTGAGAAAGATGGAGACATGTCATGATTGTAACTGACTCACAGAGCATACACTGAGAAAGATGGATACATGTCGTGATTGTAACTGACTCACAGAGCATACACTGAGAAAGATGGATACATGTCATGATTGTAACTGACTCACAGAGCATACACTGAGAAAGATGGAGACATGTCATGATTGTAACTGACTCACAGAGCATACACTGAGAAAGATGGAGACATGTCATGATTGTAACTGACTCACAGAGCATACACTGAGAAAGATGGAGACATGTCATGATTGTAACTGACTCACAGAGCATACACTATGAAAGATGGAGACATGTCATGATTGTAACTGACTCACAGAGCATACACTGAGAAAGATGGAGACATGTCATGATTGTAACTGACTCACAGAGCATACACTGAGAAAGATGGAGACATGTCATGATTGTAACTGACTCACAGAGCATACACTGAGAAAGATGGATACATGTCATGATTGTAACTGACTCACAGAGCATACACTGAGAAGGATGGATACATGTCATGATTGTAACTGACTCACAGAGCATACCGAGAAAGATGGAGACATGTATGCTCCATACAGAGTGGCAAGTATCGTGTCAGAAGTTCCAGGTTGTAGCATCATTTGGATATCTTCTCCAGGTCATGCCGGTGTGTTGGGAAATAAAAAGGCTGGATGCTGTAAGGATCCCCTGGGAGCAAGTGAGCAGTCCACAGGCACAAACAGAGCATCACGGTCTGAGGAGAATGGTGTTGCCAGGATATACAATCAACCTGTTACTGGTCCCAATGGAGTCTGAACTCTGCACTTGCTGCTGAAGAGGGGGATGGAGCACTTATAGGAGTGTCCAGAGTGCTGTGATGTCGATTTTAAATTCATCAATCAACAATGGGCTCTCTGATCTCTTTTCATCCCCTCAAATAACAATGAAAGATTACACAGAACATTCTTCTTTTTAGAAGATCACTTACCAGGTATAATTAACATCAGTACTTGATTGCCATTCTCAGGGTTGCCTCTAAGATGCCCTAGCTTGAGAACAGCAGTCTTGACCCTGCCAACTGTGATAAAATCTTCACGAACAGTGGATTCCCTTGTGGTGAACATAGCTACCAATTTTAGGAAAAAAAATTGTGTTTTTCTTACACAGGAATCAAATATATGATTCTAAACAGAGAGCAATCAAGAGATTTTGAAAGAGGTGGCAGCCCAAAAACAACTTATCACAGAGGAGACAGTCATCATTTTTCGGCCAGATTATGAGAAAAGGGAAAACGGAACATGTTGTGACCACAGGAAAGATAAAGTGGAAGGAGGGGTAGAGGAAGACGATGAGAGAAGATTCTTGACAGTCTTGTTGCATGGCATGGAGGTGTGTCAGCACAGGAACTGGTACATGCTGCAGAAGATGGCAGATTGTGGAGAGGCATGGTCACCCATGCCAGTCGGCAAGGCACCTAATGATGGTGATGATGATGACAGGACTGCAAGCATTGCTAAAGAGGTGGCAGGTAAACTGTTTTCTGGATCTTTACTTCATGGCATGCTGACTGATTGGAAACAGACAGACAGATAAGCTGGTTTAGCATAAGTTATTTATAACTTGATGCATGGCTAGCTAGATGTGGTGAAGACAGTTTGGCAGCAAGGGAATGAAATGGAAATGCAAACAGATCATTTCGGTCTGCAGAGAACAGTGTGACAGAGAGTGACCAGGAGATATGGTCAACTTTTTAGATCAATGTTTCCCCAAGTGGGGGGTATTTCCAGCTTGATAACAAATGTGTCACTCCACAGATGGTCCGTTCCTGTGCCAACAGCAACCATACAGAATGTCCATAACTGGCCCATGTGGAAAAACCATCACAGACTGCAGTCTCAGCAAATCCAGCAGCATACACATGAATTAAATGTATAAGGCAGCTATTAGCAGTGTTAACACAAAAAGTCCAACAATATAAATGCAGTTCAGCATCGATGGAAACAGCAGTTACAAGAAATCAACAGTTGCACACACAATCAATAACATAAGGCGCCACCAGTTCTGTGGCATCAGTCCAATCGTGGCATCAGGCTAATCGTGGCATCAGTCCAATCGTGGCATCAGGCCAATCGTGGCATCAGTCCAATCGTGGCATCAGTCCAATCGTGGCATCAGGCTAATCGTGGCATCAGTTCAATTGTGGCATCAGTCCAATCGTGGCATCAGGTTAATTGCCTTTTTCTGAATCTAGAGTTCACCACAATACAAACCACGCTAGGGACAGTAAAAAAAAAAAAAACACTACCAAATAAAATCCACTGCTCAGTGTGATGTTATGCACTCAACTCAGTAGCTGGGCAACAGAACTATATTCGTTCAGTCTACATTTGGACACAAATGAAATGGCCAACTATTGTCAGAGGCAAAAACTTGCCTCAGCTAAAAAAAATAAAAGTTAACCAACCTATGCACTATACTGACCAGATGTTAATACACTAAAATCTCCTATATAGGATGAATGTTGAATTAAGAATTGACATCACAGCACTGGGGACACTCCCATAAGTGCTCCATCCCCACCTTCAGCAGCAAGCGAAGAGTTCCAATTCTGATGGCACCAGTAGCCGTCTGATTGCATATCCTTCTCATCCTTCCTCTAAGAGTTGAGCGTCAGCCACATTCCCTGGTAACTCCTCACAGCGCCATTCTCCTCACACCGTAATGATCTATCTATCTTATATGGATGTAGAAAGGAACAGGTAATCACCACATTAATTTCCTAGAAAAAACTGTTCAGGCAGTCCCTACCAGTTCCCAGTTTTAAATGGTAGATCATGATTCAGTCAATCTGGCCATGCATGTACACCACACCAATTCACTGTTTACTTGTGCAAATATCTAGACTTTCAGCTACCATTGTCAGCTTCTTTTTTTTAACACATTTATTTTTATTATACGTATTGTATGGATTCCAATGCAATGAGTATCACTTGTTTTCCTAATGAAGTAATACCAGTTTTTTATTTTTTATATTGTGAAACTGTTGAATGCTTGATGTGGGTTCGTGTTATTGGTTCAGTCTAAGCCAATAACATGATTCCAAATCACACATTCAAAAATTTGACAAGTGGACATGGGTATGACTTCAAAACCACCTGTGCAGTGTCACAGGTTCATTTTATGTGGCAGATATTTTATTTACTCATAAAAACAGACACGGGTATGTTAATTAAACTTTGCACTGTTTCATAAAGTAATATATCATCATAACTGTATCTTATCTGACTAGTTTATTATAAATGTTAACATAAAATTATTAGTTATTTATCTATATTCACCCACTTTGTTGCATATGTGTCCTATTCTCTGCTTCTTCTTCTTCTTTTTGTTTTTCTCAGAATGGAGTATAAGCCTTGATGTAACTCACAATAGGCCCTGTGTTGCCTTGTTCATAACTGATTGCAGTTTTTCCCCATGTGGGTTCCGGGGTTCCATTGTGGGGAAAACAAGAACACACCCACTGCATCCCCAACAAGCATGTAGATTATAATCACAGATGTTCCACACATTTCTTAGCAGATTCTAACTGTTTTAATATTGCCTAAATTTAGCTGTCACAAATTAAATGTATAAACTTTAGTAAATTGGCTCACAAAATTCATTGATCTAAATAGAACAATCTTAATTTTTGTAAATGTCTGGTTTGGAGCAGACAAGCAAGAAGCTGAACAGATTAACTTTTTTCAGTCACACAAAATTTTGAAGCAGTTATCCAAAGAGAACAATTAACAAGATGAATGACTGATTGGAACCTTCTGTCTTTCCAGACGATAGTGTTATATTGCGCTATGAGGAGACATGAGACTCACAACCCATGGTGATGACAAGTGTGACTAGCAAGACCCGCCGGTGTCAATAAAAGTCTTTCAAAATGATGGCATGGGATTTCAGGACCATTGTTGTCAACATTTGTGTTTAATCCGTTTCTTTTCAGACATTCAGCTCTCATCCTGTCAGCAATCATTTCTTCCTCCACTCTCATTCCCTTCCTGATATGCCCTTTCCACACAACACGGTCCATGGCATTTTGTTTCCATGAGTCCACCTCAATACCTGTATCATTCATGTGCCACTTGCACACATCTTTATATCGTAGTAGAGGTCGGCCTCAACATCTTCTTCCTGTCTTTAATTCACCATAAAGGATGTCCTTAGGGACTCTGCCATCCTCCATTCTCCAGGTGTGACCCAGCTACCTGAGCCTTGGTAGACTGAGCATGGAAAAGACTGTTGTAATATCTTCTCTTTCCAGTACCTCAGAGTTTGTGATTTTGTCCTGCCATTTAATGCCAAGTATTCTTCTTAGGCATCGCATGTGAAAGCTATTTATCCGTCTCTCCTGGTGCAAATAGGTTGACCAAGTTTCACACTGCCATAAAGCAGAGTGCTGAGAACACAAGCCTGACAGACAAGGGTTTTTGTTTTAATTGTAAGCTTTCTGTTCTCCCAAACTCTCTTTGTCAATCTGCTCATTGTTGTTGCTGCCTTACCTATCCTGATGTTGATTTCTTGGTCCAGCGATAGTTTACTATTCACTGTGGAACCCAGACAGGTAAAATGGTTACAAGATGAATGAGTCACTAGTTACATACTTTCATCTGCTATACTGGTTGTTGAAACATCTAGGAGATTCTTGATATGCTCAAACCAGATGTAAAAGATACAATGACATACCATGCACCACTTGATACATGCAGGTAATATCTGATAACTCATGGTGAGTCATGGTAGCCAAGTGGCTAGACACTCACCTGCAAACCCAAGTCTTTGAGTTCAAATCCACACAGAGTCAGATTTTTGCTAAGCTCTCTGCTTGACCCAGCCTGGAATGGGTACCAGGTTCTGAGAAGTAAAAGCAATATTACATGGCAAAAACAGCAAAATAAGCCAGTTAATAACCTGTATAATATATTTATTGTGTCCTCTTTATTCAAATTCATATTAGGAAAACAAGGTTTTGAATCTTTGCATTTTGTGGAGTTTTTGTTTTAACTCTTCTTCTACAGCAGTGATTTCCAAAACAAAAAATAAAAATAAAAGGATGTCTTTGTTTTCATGAACAGTTCATACACCTACGATTAAAATCTAATTAATAGGATAACAAATGCATTTAATTACAAATTAAGTTAGGGGGTGGGGGGGTCCTTGCCCATATTCAAAGGGGTAACCGCCTGAAAAAGGTGAAAACCACAGTTACAGAGAATGTAATGTGGTGTGGACAATCATGTCCTGTCAACAACCTTCTGTCTCATGTAGTCAAATTTTTTCATACATGATAACATGTCAAACATTTTATCTCTTGGTCTCCCCCTCTGGCTATTTTCTCCTCAAACTTTCCTGTAGTCATAACTTACTTAAAGTAAAAAAAAAAACAACTAATGAATGAAAACTGAAAAAACATTTGTTGTACATTTGTGTGAAACCATCTCTTGCTATTCTAGAACAGTGGTTCTCAACCTTCAGAACGCCGCGATCCTTTAATTCAGTTCCTCATGTTGTGGCGACGCCCAGCAATACAATTATTTTGGTTGCTGCTTCATAACTTCAGTGAATACATTTTCCCGCTGGTCTTTGACGACCCCTGTGAAAGGGTAATTCAACCCACAAAAAAGTTGCGACCCAAAGGTTGTCATTCGACTCACAGGTTGAGAACCGCTGTTCTAGAAGCAAGCTGGATGAGTCTTGATGAACAGAAAAAGCTTTTTCTGTTGTAACTTGTCTTAAATACATTTTCGGTTCAACAGAAACACTGCAAATTACAACTCCATGTTGTCAGTGTTTCAGGGCCTCACTTAGACTTGAAGAGTCCCTAAGTTATACAAAGCACTGAAGTCCCTCCTGTTTTAAATGACACCAGCTTATCTCAGAAAACTTAAAACATACATTATCATTCAATTTCTAGTTTTAAAAAAAAAAGACAAAGAATATGTGTGCAAAATCATATTAATATATATATAATCCTCTTAAACGTGCTTTTAAAAGAAAACTGCATTTGTGAGCAAAAATATAAATTTGTTGAGGCCCCTGAAGATTGTGAAGCCCCAAGCCGTAGCTAAGTTAGCTT